CATCTGGAAAATGCCAGGATCGCCAGGCTTCAAACGTTGTTCAGCCTGCAATGACGCTATGGCTGTGTTTGACAGTCAAATGCCTCAGAAAGTCCCATGTTTAACAGGACTGCCAACGCTACGCTAAACTCAAGGCTTGAACATGCAAAGACAGGGACCTCTGCCTGAAAATTATTGTGCTAGAAAAGGTGTAACATCCCACCTCAGATTCTGGCACACAGGTTCCTGATAAGGGGAGACCCCAAAAAAGGAAAAAGTCCCCAAAGAAACATGCCTCTTCATTACCTCACAAGCCACAGTCACCTAAGAGGTACAAAACCAAAAATTCAGTAGTGAGGGCATTTCCAGTACTGATAGGGCACTCTTCAGCATGGCACCCACAGAGCCCACAGAGGATACAGGCCCTTTCGTGCGTTAGCACCCACTATGGCACTGGGTAACCAGACAATTGAATCCTCGGCACTGAGGATTACTGGCATGGCACCACAGCAGCCAGTGGCGTAGCGCATCAGCACCATTCTTCCATCTAATGGTGCCACAGTTACTTTGATGCCACAACCTCCATCGGTGCCAACTGCAACCGCACCAGCTCTGGTACCACTTACGGTACTGCTGGCTATGGCATCATCCACTCTGGCACCCAGGTACTGACATCACAGAGACCTTATGGTGTCATCTACATTTAATTCTCCATTTATTGATCCCGACATGTCACATACATCAGCAGCACCAAAACATCACCACCCAGGGATTATGGACACCAACAGAACACACCTTACACTCAATGTCCTCGAGCTCGGAGCCATTCAGCTCACCTGCCAACATTTCCTACCTCACATAGCCAGAAAACATAGCAGAATATATACCAACAACGTCACCTGCATGTTTTATATAAACAGGCACGGTGGAGCCCAATCCCATTCCTTATGTACCGAGGCTATTGCCCTGTGGAACTGGTGCCATCTTCCTGGTGCCCTAAACACCACCGCTGATGCACTAAGCAGAACTCTACCTCAGGACCACAAGTGGTAGATTAATCACAGAGTTCTTGCAATGATTTTTTAACCGTGGCGATACCTCCGGATAGACCTTTTTGCCATGAAGGCAAGCAAAAAGTGCCCCCTGTATTGCTCCTGGCCCAGCATGAGCAAGGGCTCCCTCAAAGATGCCCTCTTTCTCAAGTGGAACTATCATCTACTATATGCCTTTCTTCCAATTCCCTTTCTCAATAGGACGATTCTCAAAATAAAGAGAGACAGGATGAGGATCATCCTCATAGCACTTGGTTGGCCCCAACAACCATGCACACCCAATGACGAAATGATTCCTGAAAGGCCTACAAACATCATACCCAGATGTAACCAGTTCCTTTTTCTGAACAAATGACTCTATGTCCCCCAATCATGCATCCATGCAACCCAAGGATCCTTTTTCAACCAGAGATCCAGGCTCCACATCCACAACACTGCACCTGAAAGCCTGGTACCTAGATGGTTCTCAGGGATAGAGCTACAATGCTCAATTCAGGTACAAAACATCCTTTTCACAGCAGAGCTCCCTCAACTCAAAAGACATACGTGGACTAATGGTCTTGCTTCATTCATTGGGCTACTCCTCGCAACATACGTCCAGAGTCAGACCCATTATCAGTCACCCTGGATTACTTATTGCACGTCAATCAGTTTAATCTCTCTGTGAACTCAATCAAGGTACATTTGGTAGCTATTTCAACTTTCCATACAAGGACGGATGATACTACAGTCTTTGCACACCCAATGACGAAATGATTCCTGAAAGGCCTACAAGCATCATACCCAGATGTAACCAGTTCACATAAGCCATGGGACTTACATTTAGTACTAAATACCCTGACAAAATCACCATACGAACCCATGGCTGCATGGTCACTTCTCCCCCTGTCCCTAAAAAAGGCATTCCTATTAGCAGTAACATCTGCACGTCAGGTAGGGGAAATGGCCGTCCTAATGGCAGACCCCTCTATACACCATTTTCTTCAAAGATAAGGTGTCCCTACGCATCCACTCTAAGTTCCTCCACAAAGTCTGCTCGTCTTTTCGCATCAATCCATTTACCTGTATTCTTCCCCACTCCTCTTGCCAATACCTTCAAAGCACAAATGCATATCCTCAATGTACA